TCCCCCGATGAGAATGGATTACTGATTAGCAAGCGGTAAAAAAGTCATGAAACAGAAAGGGAAGAAGGGGCTATGGAGGCCGGACCAAAAAGTGGTCATTCCAAATAGGAATCTCAGGCTAGTGGTAGTAATGAACTTAATACAATACGTATTTATAGCACTGAGCAAAAAAAAAATTAAAAATTATAAGCGGGCCCTAGTACCCCGGGCATTCATCATTTTCAGTTTTTGGCAGCTAAACGGTCGGCAAGGAAAGTAAAGATACCTGCTTGTGGTCGTTTGTAATCTTATTTTCATGAATATGATGTTCCTTTTCGGCGCCTGAAGATTTTTTCGGCCTTTCTTCCACTGGCTGTGCTTTCAGTTCAACAGACGGAGATGCCTGCTCTGGTTTTTTGAAGAAATCCTCGTGTAATTGGGGCACATCAACAAATTCATCACCATCTTCCTCACTTGATGAGGACCATGCGTCGTGTTGCAAACCTTCAAATGCATCGTTATTTCCTTGAGTTTAAAACTACTCATCTTCCATAACACTTTGTTCATTACTAATAATATGTGTTAATTAATTTAACCTCAACTTTCACTAACTTCGATTAACACAGTCGACGTGCTGACGAGGTCCAATTGTGGTAATGGTAAGAAATGTATACGATTTAATGAACCAGAACATTTCTTACCATTATAATAATCCCATAAATTTTCAAAATTTACATTTCTTATCTTCCTTTTCCGTTTTTTTCTTTTTGTTTCATTCCTTATTATAACTTTCTAAAATCGTATCACAAGCTCACTTTATTTCCGAAAACTTTCAGGCTGCAAAGCAGAAAAAAAGGCAAAAAGAGCCTTATTCGATGCTGGTTTTTTGGTGCTGCGAACATATTTTACAGACATTAGAACACAGATTTGCACATTTTGTCTTGAAAAACTGTTCGTTTTTCGGTAAGGAATTTCATCGCTGTTTAGAAGTGGCGACGTTTGAAAAGAGGGAGATGCTCAACGCGTGTCGAAACTGCTAGAGCCTTGCGAAATGTTGAATTTGAAATCTTTGAGTTCCATGTGGACAGGGGACATAACCTCAAAATTTCAGCCTTCTAGCTTTTCTGGTTACCGAATTAGCGATTTTCCCGCCAAAACTTTCAGCCACTCGTTCGTAGGGCCCAGACTTGCATGAGGTTCTGTCAAGAGAACGCTGAGTTATCAGTCCTTTCAAAAAAGAAACGAACGTAAAGGTCCCAAGAGATTGCCCCACGATGTAGTACTGGTTAAAGCACGTAGAAGTTCGTCCAATTGTTAGTTGGATAACAGAAATTTGAACAGAAGCTGACTTAAGCATGTAACTGCTGCTAAACAGTTAAGAGAAAATAGAGGAAAATCAGTAGATATGAAAATACAGGCAAAAAAGGGAACAAGTACAAAACAATGAAAAACTAAGCAAAGAAAATTTATGAATTTATAAAAAAAGTAAAAAAAAACGTTACAAAAAAGTAAAAAAACGTAACAAAAAAAAAAAATGAATTCATAAAAAAGTGAAAAAAAGTTACAAAAAAAAAGAATTCATAAAAAAGTGAAAAAAAAAGCCAAGCAGATTGACTTTTTCTTCCCAATTTCCTCTTCTACTACACTTATTCCGCCTAATTTTCAGTGGTAGTTAACTAATTATTACAGATAGCTCAAAAACTTTAGTATATGAGAGGAAACACTAGTTCGGAGAATATCGTTTTCAATTGATCACGAAGAATTGAAAAGAAAAAAAAACCCTCGAACTACCCAAAAGTTAAAATTCGAAGAAAAATGGATAACCTCGAGCTCTTTCTGCAAAAGCGGTACGCAAACGCTCAATCATATCGCCCTTCGATTCTTCGGCATACCTGCACAGTGGTGCCGGTCGTTTTCTTGTTTTCCATGCAACATCCTCCAGGAGAGAAGCGTAAATCGCCTGAAATACAAGATTCTCATTACCAGAAAATTAAGAAATGATTTAAATTTACCAGCAATATTTCTACATCTTGCATTACATACTTCGTTCTATTCTTGCCTTATTTTCTGCGCTCATCATATTACTTTCATGCTACAATCATGCGATAATCAGATTAGCATGCCTGGGTTATCACAAAACAGATCGGAGTAAATATCGCTGTTACTAACATCATTCAGTGCAGTAAGAACACACAGTTGTACTTGTAAAAGCGAACACACATACATACACACCCACACACGCACATAGACACACACATATACATACGCATCATAATTAATTCAATCTCTGATATCGTGTAGTGAGACCAAAGAAAAACTACGGGGAAATCATTAATTGTGAGTTAGAGCCTCCTAGGAACTCTCTTTAACAATCAAAACAAAGTCGGTACAGACGTACACACAGACATACACACATACATACATACATGCATACATACATACATACATGCATACATACATACATACATACATACATACATACATACATACATACATACATACATACATATATACACACATGCAGACATACATACACACATACATACATACATACACAACTCCTTGTCAATATGCGTTTTCTGCACTGTATCGATGAAAAAAAAACTCATGAAAAAAATGATAAGTCACTGAATTTAAACCTCCTGTAGTGCGTCATCTTCGTCCTCCTCATCATCGGAAACAACTATAACGTTTTCTTCTTTGTCTTCGACTACCTGAAAGC